ATCTTCATTTCTTCATTTTCTTTTTGGCTTAGACCCTTAATTAATCCGGGGTCGCCACAGCGGAATGAACAGCCAACTTATCCAGCATAAGTTTTATGCAGCGGATGCCCTTCCAGCTGCAACCCATCACTGGGAAACACCCATACACACTCATTCACACACATACACCACGGACAATTTTAGCTTACCCAATTCATCTATAGCGAATGTGTTTGGACTTGTGGGGGAAACTGGAGCACTCGGAGGAAACCCACGCTAACACAGGGAGAACATGCAAACTCCACACAAAAACGTCTACAGTCCCAGCCGGGGCTTGAATCATTGATCTTCTTGCTATGAGTCAACAGTGCCAACCACTTAGCCACCGTGTCACCAACCTTTATCTTATTCCAAATAAAAAAAGTTGTATGTCCAAAAAAAGAGATTAAGTAATGTGATACTAAATAGTCGATACAGCTAAGAATGCTGACCACAGTAATATACTAGTTAGCTGGTAGATGCAAATACATTTAATGCAAAGCATAGTGACTAAAAATGGCCTATAAATTGCTTCAGAAACTGATAAACATTTTAAAATCGAAAGGAAGATCATAAGACATGAATTAACCAAGATTAACCAGAGCAGGAAACTGTATCTAGATAATAAATAGGTTGAATTATGATGGTAACACACTGTGAGTCAGTGATGGGAAGTTGCAGCATGTTAATGCTAGCGTCAAATGTTAGCTTTCAGTGTGGTGTAATGCAATAAATGTGAGAATGTGTGTGTGAAGTGTAAAGTGTGTGTGTTTGACGCAGCGAGCGCAGATGGAAGGAAGTGTCCGGATACAGCAGTAGTGTGTGTTTGTGTGTATATGTGTGTGTTTGCGCCTCTGAAACTGCTGGGTCTTACTTTGCCCTCCACTCCCACGCCACAGTCTGCTTCCTGGATCATGCTGACATCATTTCCTCCGTCCCCTGAGAGAGAAAAGACAGCCAGTGATGAGCCAGAGACGGATGGTGCCGTGACCCGGAATAAGTCCATAATGCATACAGTATGTAAATGTAAACATATCTAGGCCAAGATTCAATATTAAACCTTCAATTGTAACTGATGCTATATGCTAATGCTAGCAGATATTAGCAAACAGTCTGAACTTGATGATATGGGAAGCATCAAAGAGCTTTTTTCTATATATCTGAACTGTTAACTATGATTTTCTCTATCTTTGTTTAAATTTTATTATATAAAATTTATTCACACACACACACACGCACGCCCACACACACACACACACACACACACACACACACACACACACACACACACACACACACACACACGCACGCACACAAATTAGTTTTTTTCACACAAATTATGAACAAATGCAACTGAAAAATAAAATGAAAACATTTAAAAATATATTAACAGTAAAAAAACAAAAACTGTGATAAAAATAATTTTAAAAAAACGTAAACAAAAATAAAATATATCTAAATTAAAGTAAATAAAACTACAATAAAAAATTACAAGAAAGTAACAAATAAAAAATAGAACAAAAAAAATAAAATAAAGTAAAACAAATAATAAAATTAAATGTAAAATCAAAAGATAAAAAAACACACACACGCATGTACACAAATGATATTTTCCACACAAATTATGAACAAACGCAACTTAAAAATAAAATGAAAACATTTAAAAATATAATAACAGTAAAAAACTAAAATTAAAATCATTTAAATTAAATGTAAACGAAAAAAAATATATATATAACTAAATTAAAAAATAAAATAAAACCCAAAAAATAAAAGCTAATTTAATAATAAAAAAATAATAATAAAAATAAATAAATAAAATAATAGGGTTTTCTACTTAATAATTTTTTTTGTGCATATACACACACACACCTATGTATATGGCATTATATATATCTCAACGTATATTTGATTATTACTAAAAACAATGAAATATTTTTCACTTGTCTAAAAAATGCCTGTTTGTTGTATTTAAGATTTTTTTTGATATTTAGACAAAAAACTGAACACAAAATGTAAAGAACAGCATAAAGTAAAATATAAAACTTTTAAAATGAACAACACAATTTTAAAATAAAACACTAACATCAGAAAAAAAAAATGCAAAAACTTAAAAAAAAAAACACAGCTACTAGCATTACGTTAGCTAATGACTAATAATAACTAGTGCAGTCAAAATTAGCACGTAAACACATGCAATTAATTTGAAATATAAAACACAATTAACGCAGTTATAATGCAGTTTTTTTTACTTCCTGTTGCATCCCACGTGTGTTCAACTTGCAAAGAAATATGGATAAAACCAAGGAAACGCTTTTAGAAGGAAAGTATCAGTATAAAACAATTAACGTTGCATCACCAGGCTGTTGTTTTATAGGAATTTGATGCCGCATGCCAATGGAAAGGGAAAATTTCCGCATTTTGTGACTCGGTGGTCCTTTGAGATAATCAAAATTTGCTGTTTACATGGTCGACTCTTAATCAGAGTATTATCTCAATCATATTAAAATCACCAAAAATTGGTGTCCATGAAAACATACTCAGTAAAAATGCCAGATGATGTCGCAAGCTGTCAGAGACGGTGCATTCCTCTGCCTTCAAGTTGATTCTGTGCGCCCTCAAATGTTTCATTAAGTTTGATGTGTTTCCCCTCTCTTATACACACAACTTTTGTAAATAGTCTGCTTCATGTTATTGTGTCAGAATCCTTGAGAAATATAGCCATACCTTAGAATGCTTAGTTTAAGCAAAGTTGATGAACGCCATCATGCGCGTTTTCAAATCTGAAAGGAATCGCTCACCAGATGCTCTGTACTGCGCACTTAGTGTGTGTGTGTGTGTGTATTGGTGTTTCTGCATTTCCTAGCAACAAGATCAAACACCTAACATCGCAAACAGTGTCCGTATCCCTCAATGTTGTTTAGAATTTAATGTTTAGAGATGGTGTAACCAAAGTCCCTTTAAGAAGTCTATAGTCTTTGGTGTGACCTAGTGCGTACCTGTGCATGCCTTTGATGTACCGCTTGATGCTCCTTGTCGCAACACCAGTGGCACCAAAATTAGGCACTGTAATTTATATGCTGATTCGGTGATTCTGTTTGTGAGAGACTGTTCTCACTCTCAGCTCACATCATTCAAAAGAAAAGGGCCACGTTGTCCCCCGATAATGTCCACAGATTTTTCAATTTCCATATCTGCAATGCCTGTGTTTTGGATTTGTTTTGTAGTCCACTTAGAATTCAACATGGAAATCAATTTTTGTTTTTTATCGGCATTGATTGTTTTGAAATTCAAATGGCACTTACAAGCCTGTGTTTTTATTTCTGTAATAAATATGGCTTTCAAGCCAACAGTTTGAGGATCTTGATGGTTTATTGTGGGCATGTTGTTTACATGAAATCAGTTACAAGTTGAAAAAAAATTCTGATAAACAATCTTATATTGAATTTAAATAGTTTCTTTGTCTTGAGTATACATTAATTTTACATTTGAAAAGAAAAAATTACAAGTTTCAGTCTTTTCAATGTGATTAATCGCGATTAACTAAAAAAAATTGTGATTAATTAGTAAAAATTTTTAATCTATTGCCAAAACTATAACTAATTATAACTAATTATTTTTCCTAACTGTAAAGTTATTACCAATAAATTCAGACATAGCTTCTTCATGACCAAATAAAAACATACAAACTAGATCAAATAGAACTTGTGTCACAGGAAGTGCACTGAGCTAAAAGGAAGTTGTACACTGACCAACAGCGCAGGTAAGTTTGCCAGTTCGTTCCTGCAGCAGACGAACAATCTGAGCTTTCTGTGTTGGAGCGCAGCGACAGCAGACCACCGCCGGACACTGACACGCCAACTCCATAAACTCATACTCATAATACTTCAGACACACCTGCAACAACAACAACACTAAACCATCATATTTAGAAGAAATACAACTTAATATACAGCTGGACTCAGAATTATTAGCCCTCCTGTATATTTTTCCCTAATTGCTATCTAAGGAAGATAATTTTTTCAACACTTTTTTAAACATAATAGTTTTAATAGTTTGCCATGATGACAGTAAATAATATTAGAGGTGAACTGACCTGATACTTGTATTGGATATCAGTTCGATACTGCATATTTTTTGCATCACAAACCTGTCATATATTTGCTACATGTTTAATATAAGTCATTTATAAAAATTATGTCTTGAGCATCTGATTTTACCTTGGTGCTGATGTGCTTTTAGTTTAGTTTAGTCTGCGTCAAATCTGCAGGAAAATACCAGGTTTTGCTAAAAGGCTGGTTATTTTACTAGTAATGCGGGTCAACAGTGGTAGCCTATTACAGATAAAAAAAAAAACTTAAAATTAAAAAAGAAAAACAAGCTGGACCACAAAAAGTAATATTAATGTCATAATTAATGCTCAAATAATGTAGCCTAGTTTACAGCAAGCATCATGCTTTTAGTTAGATTGTCTCGTCTGTCATATACAGTGTCAAAACACTACATAATATTTTACTAAATATTTTTCAAGATACTGGTATTTAGCTTAAAGTGACAATTAAAGGCTTAACTAGGTTAAGTAGGCAAGTCATTGTATAACGATGGTTTGTTGTGTAGACAATCAAAAAAAAAAAAATACTGCTTAAGGGGGCTAATAATATTGACCTTAAAATGTTTTTTAAAAAATTAAAAACTGCTTTTATTCTAGCCAAAATAAAACAACTAAAACTTTCTCCAGAAGCAAACATATTATAGGAAATACTGTGGAAAAAGTTATTGCTCTGTGAAACATCATTTGGGAAATATTTAAAAAAGAACAAGAAATTCACAGAAGGACTAATAATTAAGCAATATTTGTTTTCAGTTGTCTACAGAACAAACCAGTATTATACAATGTATTCCCTAATTACCATACCTAGCCTAATTTGGTTACTTTCCAACGCAACCTAAAAACAACCAAATATCAACGTCTAATGGTGTTATAGCTTGAAATTGTATGGACATTATCAATATGACATCAGTCATTGGATATTGGTTGCCATACTTGATGAATAAATGTCAGGATTTGACGTCAATATGACGTTGGTTTAAGACAGGGCTCAGGAACCTTTTTTCAGGAAAGAGCCATTTCTGATTTTATTTGGAAAATGCTTTTTCTAAAAGAGCCATTGGGGATAAATAAATTCATGAATTTAGCTTGAATCTACGTGCTGAGGTTACAATAGAAATGTATGTTTCTTGTCCTTTATTGGTGTCACGATTTGAGCGCCACACATGCGCTTTGGTTGAAACGTCTTTTTATTGTAAACTGAGTTCTTAGTAATTTTGCTGTAAAAAAAAATACAATAAAAATAGAATTGCAATTGTATTCACAACAGGAAACTTATTTCTAGAGGCAGTTATAATTTTTTAAACTTCAAAATAATTAAAGTAATTAATTGAAAATAATTAAGATAATTGAAGAGAGAAAGCCACATTTTTTGTGGTCAAAGAGTCACACGTGGCTCCCGAGCCATAGTTTCCCTACCCCTGGTTTAAGATGTTGGTTCGACGTTGGATTTCGGTCACTTTCCAACACAAACTAAAATCAACAAAATATCAACATCATTTCACGTCATTTTTGGACGTTAAAATAACATTGTCCTTAGATGCTGACGACCTAAATCTAACCTTATAGACCTTTTTCTTAGAACGCAAAATTACCCATTATGCTTTGCGTGTATGTGGAGAATGCTAAGAACGTCCGGTCGGCAGCTGATGCGTATAAACAGTCACATTTGGACAGCTTTGATGCAATAGTTTTAATCTATTTTACCTACTTTTATCATTCATTTATTCATTAATTTTTTGGTCCGCTTAGTCCCTTTATCAATCCTGGGTCGCCACAGCGGAATGAACCGCCAACTTATCCAGCAAGTTTTTACGCAGCGCATGCCATTCCAGCCACAACCCATCCCTGGGAAACATCCACACACACATTTACACACATACACTCATACACTACGGACAATTTAGTCTACCCAATTCACCTGTACCTCATGTCTTTGGACTGTGGGGGAAACCGGAGCACCCGGAGGAAACCCCACGCGATAATGCACCCCACGCCAGGGAGAACATGCAAACTCCACACACAAACGCCAACTGAGCCGAGGTTCGAACCAGCGACATAGCGACCTTCTTGCTGTGAGGTGACAGCACTACCTACTGCGTCACTGCCTCGCCCTTGCTTTTATCATCTTTTAACTAATACTGTTGTCGATCAGCGCCACCTCCTGAACTGATTATTTGAAAAAATGCGATCTACTGGGATGGAAAGCAGCTGCTGTGATGCATTTTTCCCTCGTTGTCAGACAGCATCTTATGCTGTTTAAATGAAGCCTCATCATTGCTAAAGTCAACATTTTCTCTTTCTCTTAAGTATATAACCCGCCCAAAAAAATGTAGTTCACAAAAATGTTTGACACACACATAGCCTGTACTGTCCCACTGACACACTGTTTTAATAACTGTGACGAAGTTCTAATACAGGCTAGTGTCATTTTGAAATGACAGAAAAACACCAACCATGGTTAAAAAACACAAATGAAACATAAACGGCTCGCGATTATAATGAACAGCAAATCAGCCAGCAGAGTATAAAATTGGGTAATTTTTGTAAATTGCATGACTTACATACCTGTTAAGTTTCCTGCCAGTAATCTGATTTGCTCTATAATGCAGTGAAATATTGCACGCACGTGTGTGTGTGTGTGTGTGTGTGTGTGTGTGTGTTGAAGAGCTACTGAGCTAACAACTGACAGGCCGGGGAAACACACGCACACACACTGTATTTCTGACGGCAGACGCGTGAACTAGGAAACGTTTTTTTCTCGCGCCTGAATCACATCTGACAGATTATAATGGCTTTAACATACACCTTTCTAAGTTGTGTGTCACAAAAACACTCTGTAACCCATTAAAAACGCTATTGAAACCCATTTTCGGAGCTCAAATTACCTGTTGTAAACGCTGTAAACGGAAGTTCTAACCATTCTACCGGAAGACGCTGGTCGCTATCAGTGTTGCCAGATTGGAAATGTCAAAGTATCGTACCAGAACCTCAAAATTATCGTATTTGGAGGAAAATTATCGTACACGAGTCAAACTGAGAGTATACAGCTATTATCTAGACACATAGCGTTTTAACACAACGTGCAAATTACCACAATACGTTAAAAAAACTAGGTACCTTAATGGGAAGGTTCAAACTCCACCTCTGAGTTGACGTCATTGAATGTGACATGTTGTCAGATGTTCAGGCATTTATTTTCTGAGGTTTTGTTTTGATGAGACTAACTTTGTAAAAAAACATGTTCACAAGACCCATTTGAATGGGGAAAAACGCGAACATCAAGGGAAAACTCTCGTCCCTCTCACCTTCCTTTACAGCACAAATTGTTTTAACATTATTGCTTAAAAGATCGACCTCAAACTGAAAACTACTGACCTAACCATGGGCACGCGCAGCAGGAGCGTTAACTCGTGAGAGAGAGCCATTCTCTACGTTGATTGGCTGAGAAGAGGCAACGTAAGATGAGATAGAAAACGTGCCTAACTCCACCTTCTTCTCATAGACAGTACAGAAAAGATGCAGCTAGATCAATAAGTAAAGAAGCCCGAAGATTACAATGAAGTTACTTTTAAATGCCATAAAATTCTGAAATTATTGTACATTATAGGATTTTTCTCATTATTGATCGTACATCGTACAGAGGTCGAAATTATCGTACAAATACGATAATTATCGTACGTCTGGCAACACTGGTCGCTATGGCGCCGTCCATGCAGCAGCCAAAAAAAAGGTCTACATCAATGGTATTGATGTTGTGGGTCTGCTGGGAAGCCTTTAAATGTCACTTTAAGGTAAATACTAGTATCATGAAAAATACCTAGTCAAATATTATGTCATCATGGCAAAGATAAAAGAAATCAGTTATTAGAAATTAAATATTAAAACTATCATGTTTAGAAATGTGTCGAAAAAAATCTTCTCTCCATTAAACAGGAATAAACAGGGGGGCTAATAATTCAGGAGGTCTAATAATTCTGACTATATCTGTACATCAATGTTTTTATTTCCTTTTTCTTTCTTCAAGTATTCACGCGACTCATTTCACCTCTAGAGAGTCTCCTGATATCACCAGCGCGCAGTCGTGTTTCCTCCTGAAGGCGTTGAGCTCAAGGTGAGCTTCGCTTCGAGTGGTTACCTGCAAGACAGCGGAGAGTTCAGCAGCATTAGTGTTTCCCCCCCCTCACACAAACACACAAGCAGCCATTCAGATAAAGATCTCAGAAACACCAGCGGTGAACCACAGCCTGAGATATTAACTTCAGCTGGCAGATTCAACCAGCTCTCTGCTCAACCGTCTAAAACTGTGAGGTTTGCACGGCCTGCTGCTTTCACACAGGAAGCTCACCATTAGTAACTGTTGTTTTAGTGTTTACAGATGGCTTTGAGCAGATATCGACGTTAGACAGAAAAGGTTTGGGAGTAAATAAATTCACTGTCATGTCATTTACAAAACCTGGCTTTCTTTTTTGCGGTCGACCGCTGAAGGAGACGTTTGTAAGAATGTTCACACTGCTCATTTCCTTCTCTGTTATCTACATCTCTGTGTTAATGCTGATCTGAAAGCAGGTGAATACCACATTTAATAACGTGTTTTACTCCAATCTCACTTCATCATTTCAGTTGAATGATTGAATATAAGGACAGGAGATATTGTGCTAAAAATTTGACGCTGTATTACAGGATTAAATCATGCATTTTTATTTTAAAAGAAAGTCCCTATTGCATTATTAAGAGAACCCTAATGGATTTGACCAGATATCGACAACAGAAAGAAAGGTCTGAGAGTAAACAGACTGACTGTCATGTCATTTTTAAATCATGGTTTTCTTTTTGTGGTCGACCACTGAAAGAGATGTTTGTAAGAATGTTCACACTGCTCATTTTCCTATTAAAAATATCATATCAGGTTAGAACAACATGAGGGATTATGCTTTGTTTACACTGAGGAAACTGTAGAGCAGGGATGCCCAAACCTTTTCTTAATCCTGGTTTATACTCTACGTGTCCGCTTGTTCGATTAAGTACGCGCGACGAATGTGACGTCATCGCGGAGTTTGCGGAGTTCGCTTTGGGTGCGCAAGACATGATTTCAGCTGGCGGTGCGCATGGTTTTTTTGTGACTCGAGCGAACAGCGGACATTTGATTTGAGTTGAATATGAATCACTCAGAAGAGATTTTGTCTAAAACAGTACGACTGTACAGAAACCTTATGATTTATGGTCATAGAGATAACCTAATGATCAATAATTCTTGGCTAAAAATTGCAACAGCTGTGGGAAAGGAGAAAGTTTTTTTAAAAGGTTTGAAAAAAGCTGAAGGATAAGTTTGTTAAAACCAAAAGAGGTAATGGCAAAAGTGGAGACCCAGGTACACAATTACAGAATATATTTTATCATCATTTACAGGTTTTACATTGATTTATATATTGCAATTTGAATTTAAAACAATTTAATAGTTACAAAACTAAAATGAAGTCACAGAATTATTTCTTTGATAACTTTTTTTCTTTTTAGCACATGTCCTTTATTTTGCTTTTATTTTTGCCATATAAAAAATATATTTATAGAGCAACTCATGTTCTGTGGTCCTCCTCTTGTCGTTTTAAAGAATATCACAATGGCGAACGCAGCAAGTATAAAAGCCTCGTCTATTACGCAAGGTGCGCATGCAGTCAGCGGAGGTGCACGATGTGGCGCCAGGCGAAAGTATAAATCCAGCTTTATGAAGTGCCAAAAGCCAAATTTGATTAAGGGGGTGGGCCGAAGGTAAATATACCAAACTAATACATTAAAGCTGCCATGGTAATTTTTTGGTCACACTTTACAATAAGGTTCATTAGTTAATGTTGATTAATGCATTTACTCACATGAACAAACAATGAACAGTACATTTACTACTGTATTTGTTCATGTTAGTTAACGTTTGTTAATGAAAATACAGTTGTTCATTGTTAGTTCATGTTAACTCATGGTGCATTAACTAATGTTAACAAGCATGGACTTGGATGTTAATAATGCATTAGTTAATGTTCAATTATGATTAATAAATGCTGTACATGTGTTGTTCATGATTAGTTCATGTTAGTAAATGCATTAACTAATGAACTTTATTGTGAAGTGTTACCAATTTTTTTATAGGGAACTTCGTACAAAAAACAAACAAAAAAACAAACACATTTATAACACACTGGTGTTCAATGCTAAACACACGAGTCAAGCTGAACCTGCCCTTGCCTTTATTTGCTCGTTGATGTCTTGTGTATTGTCCTCTCTGGACCATGACATTATTTACATCATTTACATTTCTAAAAAACCATGCACATCATTTAATTGAAACATTTAATTTTAGCTGACTTTTTTTGTAGCATAACAATTAAACAAACAAACAAAAGGTTTTGTTAAATTAGAAATGATGATCTCTGTCAAATGCATTTGCCGCAACCTTTATTCTAAATCTCTTCTCAGATAGGATGGCAGGCCAAAATAAAGGTTACCATGGGGAAACTTTGGCCTGCAGGCCCTACTTTGGGTATCTTTGCTGTAGAGTATATTACAGTATGATTTGGTATGAGTCACCCTTATCAGGCTTGTGATTGCAATGCCAACAATACCCTTACTTGGTAGTAGGATCTAAGTAAAGGATGTTGTTAATCATTTTGGAAGTAAAAAGAAGTAAAACCAGCTCTGTAATCAGCTGTACATCCATGCAATCCTGAAATCGAAGAGAACGGTTCTACGATTTGACAGCAATTTATTAATGCTGATCTGAAAGCACGTGTAGACTACAATTAATAACGTGTTTTACTCCAATCTCACCTCATCATTTCATTGGAATGTTTGAATATAAGGATTGGAAATATTATGCAAAAAATTTGACGCTGCATTACAGGATTACGTCATGCATTATTTTAATTTTAAAGAAAGTCACCACTGCATTATTGAGAGAAGACTCGTGGCTTTGAGCAGACACTGACATTAGACAGGAAGGTTTGAGAGTAAACAGATCATGTCATGTCATTTATAAAACCTGTACTTTCTTTTTGTGGTCGACCATTAAAAGAGATGTTTGTAAGAATGATCACACTGCTCATTTCCTTAATAAATGCATCACATGAGGTTAGAACAACATGAAGGATTTTTCTTTGTTTACACTGAGTAAACTGTAGAGTATAGTACAGTACAATTTGGTACAAGTCACCCTCATAAGGCTTGCGTTTGCAATTTCCAACAGTAGGCATAATTATATGGTTAATTTTCTGACTGTATGATAACCCTAGATAAAAATATCTTAGGTTTTTCAGATGTTTGCTGAATCGAGGGCTGACCAGTAGCCTTTAATGTGGAGGGTCCTTTTCTGCTGGAGATACTGTTGCCCTAAAAAAAGTTGACAACAGTTAAAAAATAAAATTAAATTATATATGTCCAGGAACAGTATAAAAGAAAATTCCTGTGGTTTTAAAACTGTGACTTTTCCAAACCCCGGTAAACCTTGAAACCGGTTATCATTGTATGCCTAGCCAAAAGTACCCTTACTTGGTAGTAGAGCTCAATTAAAGGCGATCTTCGTGTTAATTGAGGGAGTCAAACCTGCTCTGTAATCAGCTGTAAATCTCCAGCAACTGCTTTCAGAAGAACTACACAGAGCCAAAGTTCACTTACAAGCAACACGAAAGATTGTGGACGATTTAATCGATGCAATCCTGAAATCTTAGAGAATTGTTCTGCGATTTGACAGCTTTTTCATTGCTTCTCAGTGATCTACAGCTCTGTGGTAATGCTGATCTGAAAGCAGGTGAATATCACATTTAATAACATTTTAGTCCAATCTCACCTCATCATTTCAGTTGAATGTTTGAATATAAGGACAGGAGATATTGTGCTAAAATAAATGTGACAGTAAAATTACAGGATTAAGTCATGCATTTCTTTATTTTAAAAGAATGTTTATTGAGAGAACACTAGTGTATATCATAACTCACATTTGGATACACTGTAAAAGACAGGAGGATACACTAAAAACATCGTCAAGCAGATTCAACTCAATTTTATTTAGTTCCTAGTTTTAGACATTTTCTAAAGCAGCACAACTGATTAATATTTTCTAGGGATCAAATTGTCATATTAGACCCACATAACATATGGCTTTGGAACAACTATGCAAATAATTATTTATTTTAGGATGAAACTTTCCTTTACTAAGTCTCCAAAACAATGTAAACAAATAAATTGAATGTGTAAATTATTTCAAAACTCCTCAGCAGAAAAAGAGAATGGGTAACACTTTAGTTTAAGTAACAATTCACACCATTTGCTGCTGGCTTCTTATTAAGATATCAACTGCTTATTAGCGCTTATAAAGTAGACTACTTGACCAAAGTCTTGTCGCCTATCCAAGTTTTAGGAACAACAATTAATAACTTGATTCTAGTTGATCATTTGGTATCAGAAGTGGCTTATTTGATAGGCAAAGACCTCTTAATTACGCTTATTTTACCTAAAAAAAAATATGATCATGCCTTGATTTTGAATTATTTATTTAGGACAGTAAGGTCTGACTTAAATAATGTACAGTATAGAATATGTGCAGTCATGGTGCAGTGGAAAAATAATTAATACTGTGTATGACTCCCATGAGCTTGGAGGACTGCATCCATACATCTCTGCAATGTCTCAAATCACTTATTAATAAAGTCATCTGGAATGGCAAAGAAAGCGTTCTTGCAGGACTTCCAGAGTTCATCAAGATTCTTTAGATTCATCTTCAATGCCTCCTCCTTCATCTTTACCCAGACATGCTCAATAATGTTCATGTCTGGTGAATGGGCTGGCCAATCCTGTAGTACCTTGACCTTCTATGCTTTCAGGAACTTTGATGTGAAGGCTGAATTATGAGTAGGAGCGCTATCCTGCTGGAGAATTTGCCCTCTGCTGTGGTTTGCAATGTAATGCACAAATGTCTTGATACCTCAGGCTGTTGATGTTGCCATCCACTCTGCAGATCTCTCGCATGCCACCATACTGAACGTAACCCCAAACCATGATTTTCCCTTTACCAAACTTGACTGATATCTGTAAGAATCTTGGGTCCATGTGGGTTCCAATAGGTCTTTTGCAGTATTTGTAAAGATTGGGATGCAGTTCAACAGATGATTGATCAGAAAAATCTACCCTCTGCTACTTTTCCAAATGATTAACTAGAAGTCAAGCTTTTATTTGTTGCTCCTACCTGACAAAAGTCTTGTCGTCGATCTCAGTTGTATGTTCTTATTCTACATCTCTAATCCCAAAACCTAAATCCAACTATCACCTCACTATATTAATAAGCAACCAATCAGTAGTTTATTGCACTAAAAGTCTTAGTTATTGGATAGTAAATTTCATAAATTGTACATTAAAATAAAGTGTGACCAGGGGATGTTTTCTAATTGATGAACATTTGTGTCGAGCAATTCATCTGTCAATTTTAGCTTCAATCTGGATGCCTTTTTTTTCCCGTCCAGCAGGAAGTCAATCCAGATGCCGCTGGGATCCGCAGGGAACGAGGTGCCTGTTTTTCATGTGGTGCCAGCCATTGTCTTCGGTTTCCAGGAACTGCTGCTGTGGGGAAGATTCAACCTTCCTCAGAGTGTCTATCTTTCGCTGGCAGTCCTCCGCATGGGAGATCCACAGCAGCTCGCAGAGTCATAGAGTTTCACATAGAGAGGGCTTCAGGAAACTGCTCTGCCGGTTTGCTTTTCTGAGTGCTACTAAACTCAATCAAGCTTTGTGTGTGTTGGAGACGTTTGGGTGTGGGGCGAGATTTACAGAGCTGACACGAACCCTGCGGTTCAAAAAAGCTTGGGGCCGGTTTAATTTAGTAAGAAATAAATAGTTATTTTATTTATCATGGATGCCAATAAGGGCGACACAGTGGCGCAGTGGGTAGCACTGTCGCATCACAGCAAGAAGGGCGCTGGTTTGTGCCTCGGCTGGGTCAGTTGGCATTTCTGTGTGGAGTTTGAATGTTCTCCCCATGTTGGTGTGGGTTTTGTGCAGGAGCTCCAGTTTCCCCCACAGTCCAAGACATGTGGTATAGGTGAATTGGGTAAGCTAAATTAGCTGTAGTGTATGTGTGTGACTGAGTGTGTACGGGTGTTTCCCAATGATGGGTTGCAGCTGGAAGGGCATATGCTGCGTAAAACATATACTGGATAAGTTGGTGGTTCATTCCGCTGTGGTGACCCCAGATTAATAAAGCGACTAAGCCGAAAAGAAAATGAATGGATCAGGAGTTAAATTTAAGACTTTTTAAGACCATTATGAATTAAATTTTAAACCTATAAAGGGCTAAAGGCTAAGGAATTTTTCAAATGGCCCAGATGGAAATTATTTTTTTTTGCCCTTTCAATTTTTTTTATTTTATTTAATAACACAATAATACGTTAATAATATATATTTTTTATATTTTATATTTTATTTCTTAGCTAAATATTTTAAATATTGTGTAAATACAAGCAAGCTCTACTTGTATCCATACACCTTTTTTCCAACATAAACTTTCTTTAAAACAATTTAAAAAATAAACAAAATTTTTAAAAACTATAATAAACTAAATCTATGCACAAAAGTCAATCCAGGTCGGTGTTCTCAGCAGTAAACACATGGAGAACTTTTAAACAAATGTTACTGTCAGGAAAATAATGAAACCATTGATAAATAGTTAAATAGTTAAAAATAGATAAATAGATAAAGAGTTAAAAATTACCTTTTTAAATAAAAAGTTTAAAGTTTTATCGAGATGATTGTTAGTTATTGTATGGGTTTTGGCCAGATTTGGTAGCAGTACATGAACAAAAGAAAATTAAGACCTGTTTGAAAAAGATTTAAGACCACACAATATTTCAGTATATTTAAGACTTTTTAAGGCCTAAATTTTGGATTTTTAGATTTAGACATTTTAAGACTTTTTAGGACCCTTCAGAAACCCCGATGAATGCATTCAATTGGTCAAAAGAGGCAATTATTCATTTTATTTCGACTTAGTCCCTTATTTGTCAGGGGTCACCACAGTGAAATAAACCGCTAACTATTTCAGCATATTTCTTACGCAGTGGATGCCCTTCCAGCCATTACCTAATACTGGGATATCTCCTAAATACACCTTAAAAAATCTGACAGCACCAAAATAGCAACAACAACTAAACACTTTACCATAGTGTGTCCTCTGTCTCCAGAAAGAATCCATTAAAATATATGTACTATAGCGTAATGAAAGATTTGCAACCCATAATAAGAGATACCCATTTCACAGTTTGGATTAACTGGATCACAGTAAGGATCAAGCCCTGTTTTTACTGGTCGGTTTTTACATTTTTGCTTTTAAATTTCCTGATGCAGGACACCCTTTTAGAAGTGTAAGATTTGGCCCGTTTAAAAATAATGGTAGAAAAAAGAGTTCTATGAAGGACTTACAGGTCTGAAGACGTGGATGTCCTGATTGCGGGTCACTAGATGGGCGTTTTTGGCTGTGCAGGTTGCAGTCTCTAATTTGTCCCCGGTCAGCATCCAAACCTAGACAAAGAACAGGTTTCAGTTGAATTAAGCTTGACATTGATGTTTCTAAGCACTTGTTAACACAACAAAGTCAATATTACAGAGGAGCACAACAATTCAACGTGGCAGACTGACGAAATACAACACTGATTTGTTATTTTTTGTCAGGTTAGTTTCAAAATTGGAGATTTCTTGATTTTATAGTTGTTCTCACAATTCTGACTTTTTCCTCCCAATTTCAAGTTTTTATCTCAAAACGCTCACATTTTGCCAAAATTTTGAGTTTAAATTTCAACTTAAATGCACAACTCCAACTTAACACATCACAACTTCTTTCAAAGCTCTGACTTTTTCCAGACAATTAAAAAAAAACTCTCACAATTCTGAACTCTGACTTTCACCCTCACAATTCCGAGTGTTCCTCCCAATTGACATCAAAATCCTGATTCTCCCCAAAATCTGACATTTTCCTAACAAGTTTTTATATAAAATCCTGATTATTTTCCACACAATTTCAAGTTATCCTCTCACAATTCATTTGACTTTTTCCTCACAATTGAGAAATTTCAAACTTTTCCTCAATATTGAGTTCTCACAATTCTGCCCTTTTTCTCATGATTTTGAATTATTAATCTCACAATTCTGCCCTTTTTCTCATAATTTTGAATTATTAATCTCACAATTCTGCCCTTTTTCTCATAATGTCGAATTTTTAATCTCACAATTGTGACCTTTTCTTATAAATGTCGAGTTTTTAATCTCACAATTGCAATCTTTTCTCATAAATGTCGAGTTTTTAATCTCACAGTTCTGACATTTTTCTCACAATTTAGAATTTTAACTCACAATTCAGACATTTTTCTCACAACTTCAAGTTAACGGTACACATTTTCTTGATGTTTTTCACCACACTTTCCAGTATTAAATCTCACAATTATGAGTTTTTTCCTTCATTATTACTTTTTACCTTAACATTTTGCATTTATATCTCACAACTGTGACTTTTTTCCTTAGAAATTTGAGTTTGCACCCTTGCAATATTGAGTTGAAATTTTCTCAGAATTGTGAGAAGAAAAAAGCACCTGGTCCAACATCTCTTTCATGTTAATTTTAGTTTTTCTCCAAACCAGATGCAACCAGCCAATAGCTTTGCGTGTCGTGTCAGTTTTGATGAGCTCTATTTTTGTTGCATTGTCCTGGCAGTGAAATCTTATTGTCTGTGTATGTGCATGTGTGTGCGTGCAGACACTGACTTTGATGCCGGCGTTTCGCAGGATCTCCAGAGTCGGTCTGACATCGGCCTGAAGTTGATCCTCCACTCCTGTAAGACACAAGAGCTCCATCTCCATCTCCAGACTCTCGATGACTGTGGCCACTTTCAGAGAGCGATCATGAACACTCAACTTTGCCTGGACGTATCGAGCCTGTGGCACAACAACAATCATGTTAGAAAAAATTTCAGAAGTCAGAATTATTGGCCCCCCTGAATATTTTTTACCCCAATTTCTATTTAATGGAGAGAATACTTTTTCAATACATTTCGAAACATAATAACATAATAATAACATTCTATACATTACATACATAATAAATAATTTCTTATTCTGATTTCATTATTTTTGCCATGATGACAGTACATAATGTTTTACTGGATATTTTTCAAGATACTAGTATTCAGCTTAAAGTGACATTTAAAGGCTTAACTAGGTTAATCAGGTTAAGTTAGGGTAATTAGGCAAGTTATTGTATAATGATGGTTTGTTCTGTAGACTATCGAAAAAAAATCTGCTTAAGGGGGCTAAAATATTTTACCTTAAAATGGTTTCAAAAAATTAAAAACTGCTTTTATTGTCGCCTAAATAAAACAAATAAGACTTTCTTTAGAAGAAAAAATATTATAGGAAACACTACGAAAAATCCTTGTTCTGTAAAACATAATTTGGGAAATATTTAAAAAAGAAAAAAAAATTGCAAGAGGGCAAATCATTTTAACTGTATAACGCATTTATTTTATTTAGGTTTCCTTTACTACTACTATCTGCAGCAGACAAAATACAGAATGCTTTATAAATAGTTTTCATGAAAGCAATTAACATTATAAATAAAGAATATAATTTAGTAAGTCCAGCAGTCATTATTGCTCACTTGAGTCATTACATTGAATAAACACCACCATTTTCTGTGTGTAAACAAAGCTTCCAAACTGCTGACAAAAAAATAAATATGTTTTAACCCTTTCTTAATAAAGTTAGCACATTTAGAAACATCATTTAAACCAAATCTATATTTTTATATGGATTTATTGCACTGAATAAGAAAAATAAAAGACAACAAAGAATAATGGATTTTTGTTTTTACAATTTATAACTATTTTATTGGTATAAAACAGTGATGATAATAATATTTTATAGCAGTATTATTATTATTCTCATTGTATGTTATTATTATTACTCACATTTTTATTATGTTTAATAATAAAATAATAATAATAATAGTATTTATTATTATTATTATTATGCAGATATTTTAAATGTATTAATACAATAATAATAATAATTGTACAATTTTTTAGCTGATATATTACTACTACTACTACTATTACTACCACCATTTTTTATTTTTGTAAAAATATATAATAATAATAACTATAGAAATAATTATAATAGTAATAATTAATAAAAACAACAACAATAATAATAATAATAATAATAATAAATCAGATCTAATTAAGAAATAGTACAATTATTATATTTAATACAGTTATTATTAAAATATAAAATATATTAATATAGTTATAATAATTATAAAAAGTAACAGGAAAATTTATGGATTATTATATTATTAATGAAAATTAATTCATTATTATATTATGGTGATTTATTTATTATAAATCTGATTTATTATTATTATTATTATTATTATTGCTACTACTACTACTACTACTCTATAATAACAATAATAATAAAAATAATAATAATAAAATAAATCAGATAAAGAAATATAAAAACTATTATTATTGTAATATTTAATACATTTATTATTAAAGTTTCTGCATTATTATAATTACATTTATTATAGTCACAGGAAAATATTAAGAAATATATTCAAAATTATATGATTATTATTATTATTATTATTATTATTATTATCATAATTGTGCTGTTGCTGTTATTTTTATTAAGCGTAATAGCAATAAAAAAATTGTGTAAACAAAAATAATAAAAATTGCATTCTTAAAACTTAACCCTATTTTTAAACCCCTGATTTAAAGTCATTTTTACTCTACATATTCCAAATATCTACCAACAGCTGCAACGACATGCGAGTTACTTATTCTATTCAACTGCAATCTATTACGCTATATAATCTATTATTCTATTATTATCTATTATTATAAGCTATAATCTATTCTGCTAAAACGCATGCACCACAAATCTCTAAACATCTCAGCTTTGTCTTGAAATCAGAGGAAGCCTATCAGACTTGTCAAACCGAGACGTCTCAGACCCCTGACGCTCATCTGCAGTCAAATAATCACAGCTAAAAATCACACACCCTTGCAGTGACCCCAGAAAGCGGCGTGCCACTGCGCTGAGTGAAGCCAGAGCGACTCGGCCCACAATCACACTGAGATAAAGAGCAAACAATGTGCGCGCGAGTCACACAGGAACACACTCTCACTGGTGACTCACACACACTCTGAGTCACCGCCGCCCACTCGCTCACACACACACAATTACACACTTCAGCTCGGACACAAGAAACCAGTCTTTTCTCTGGGCTCGCGATCGTTTTGGGGGTGGTTCCCTCTGGAAAACATGTAACATTTTTTTTTTTGACAATTACTGTTGACGATGGATGGATGGTTGCCTGGCAACCGCTTAATCCAGGCTAAATATAAATCAGCACCTGGATATTGTAGCTATAAACATGCAAAGGTCACCGTCTATACCAAGGGTTTACACTGGATACTAGGCTGTTTTCAGGATTGTCTGTTGAATAATAATAATAATGAAA